CTCCAGCATATGTAGAGGAACCTTTCACATAGTCCCTCTCCTGTCCTCAGCAGTTCAGACGCTGGCTGCTGTATCTCCGCCCATTTTTATGATGCCGCACACTGCCGTCATGACACTAATGACATTATGACCCGCCAAAACATTTGAATTTTAATGTTTTGGGAGCGTGGCTATAAAATGAAAGAGACACACTATAAAAAAGTCTCCTAGGGCATGAATCATTGCCCTGTTGTGCCCTATTTTTGATTCCCAATAGTGACATCGACCGTTGTATGGACTAAAGAAAAACAAGTTACCTGCGCTCTCTCCTTAATCCCTATGTATTTTTAAACAAATGGAGGTTTTTTTGGCCATGAGAGGATAAGCCCACCTGCCAACATCAAGGCAGACCCCCCCAGGTGGGTCCTAACTTTAACCATTCACCTTGCTTCCTTGAGCATCTGGCAAAGATCTCTAATGAGACAGAAAGGGGTATTTTTTATATACACCCTATATATTATTAACCCTTAATAGGGAACACATGGGATGGGCGGCTGCATTGTAAAAAGGCTAAGTGATACAAAAAAATGGATACAAATGCAGAAAGATAAGTCCTGTGCTCACTCCCATCACTGGGTGGCAGCAATAACTACAGTACACATCAGTGCCAATATATAGTAAAAACCAAAGAAAAACAAGTAACCTGCGCTCTCTCCTTAATCCCTATGTATTTTTAAACAAATGGAGGTTTTTTAGTTACCTCCAATGGCCATGAGAGGATAAGCCCACCTGCCAACATCAAGGCAGAACCCCCCAGGTGGGTCCTAACTCTAACCATTCACCTTGCTTCCTTGAGCATCTCATCCCTAGAGCAAAGATCTCTAATGAGACAGAAAGGGGTATTTTTTTTTCAGCATGCCTGGCTATCTGCAAAGTACCCACAGGGAAGGGGGAATTAATATTTCTTTTGAAATAATAATTCATTAAATCCCCTATAGAAACACTAAATCCCTATACACACACAATATACACGATGAAGAGGTATGATCGGGAAGAGGGTGGGAAAGGGATAGGGCTGTAAAGATTTTTCACACAGGTTGCCTATTGGCCTAAGGCCGGCACTGATGCTCCATACAAAAACATACTTACTTTCAAACAAACACTGCTCAGTGCTAAACACAACACTGCAAGCATGGGTGAATGGTAGATTCCCAGCTGGCAAAGAATTGTGGGAGTTGTTCGACAGATGTGCATCTACCTTTTGGCCATCTCTGCAATAGGGGTGGCCCAACTAAATTCTTACACTAGGTCCCCTTCTAATTTAGTTCCGCTACTGATTGTGGTTGGGTATAATATAAGTCTCACCTTAGTATTAGGCAAGTAGATCCTGCATGCAATGGTTATGTTTTTTTAGACTGTCCTTTGAGACCTTAAATGGTTTAGGTTTAAGGTTTTATTGTAAATTCACTTTGTCAAGTTGCCTCACAGAATTGCAAGTCTCTTCTCGCTACTGTTGTAACCGCAGCTGGTTCCCTTATTTCAGCTGCTGCTCGTTCTCAGTATTCTCTTGCGTCAGCTGCTGCTTGTTTTTTTGCTCTCCACAAGTTTAGAGGGTAATCCAGACGTGGACCCCTTGCTCACTGTGCCTAGGGAGATATCAGCTATGACTCACTGATGATGCCTAACAAGGCTGAAACGATCGTCTGGGGTTGCTGTATCTCTCGTGCAGAGGGAACTTGCTGGCATTTTGGATCTGGACTGCCTGTATGGGTGGGACCAGTCTGATATGTTTCAGAGATGTTCTCTCTGTAATGCCACAAGATGAGCAAAAACCAGCTTGAGAACTGAGCGGGGACCCACCAAAGGGCAGGCTATTTCAGCTGCTGCTCGTTGTCAGTATTCTCTTGTGACCCATTTTTTTGCTCTCCACAAGTTTAGAGGGTAATCCAGATGTGGACCCCTTGCTCACAGTGCCTGGGGAGATATCAGCTATGCCTCACTGATGATGCCTAACAAGGCTGAAACGATTGTCTGGTTTTACTGTATCTCTTGTGCAGAAGGAACTTGCTGGCATTTCAAATTCGGACTGCACGTATGGGTGGGACCAGTCTGATATGTTTCAGAGATGTTCTCTCTGTAATGGCACAAGATGAGCAAAAACCAGCTTGAGAACTGAGCTGGGACCCACCGAAGGGCAGGCTATTTCAGCTGCTGCTCGTTCTCAGTATTCTCTTGCGACCCATTTTTTTGCTCTCCACAAGTTTAGAGGGTAATCCAGATGTGGACTGCTTGCTCACAGTGCCTGGGGAGATATCAGCTATGCCTCACTGATGATACCTAACAAGGCTGAAACGATCGTCTGGGGTTGCTGTATCTCTTGTGCAGAGGGAACTTGCTGGCATTTCAGATCTGGACTGCCCGTATGGTTGGGACCAGTCTGATATGTTTCAGATATGTTCTCTCTGTAACGGCACAAGATGAGCAAAAACCAGCTTGAGAACTGAGCGGGGACCCACCGAAGGGCAGGCTATTTCAGCTGCTGCTCGTTCTCAGTATTCTCTTGCGACCCATTTTTTTGCTCTCCACAAGTTTAGAGGGTAATCCAGACGTGGACCGCTTGCTCACGGTGCCTGGGGAGATATCAGCTATGCCTCACTGATGATACCTAACAAGGCTGAAACGATCGTCTGGGGTTGCTGTATCTCTCGTGCAGAGGGAATTTGCTGGTATATAGGATCTGGACTGCCCGTATGGGTGGGATCAGTCTGATATGTTTCAGATATGTTCTCTCTGTAATGGCACAAGATGAGCAAAAACCAGCTTGAGAACTGAGCGGGGACCCACCGATTTCAGCTGCTGCTCGTTCTCAGTATTCTCTTGCGACCCATTTTTTGCTCTCCTTGTTTACCACTATAACGTCTTAAAGCATAGAACTTAGCAGGGTTAACCATACAGATATCTTAGCCATAATTTTATATATTTAGTAAGAGATCCTCTATTTAAAATATATAAATAATTGAGAAAACAATATAAAATAAGGATTGTCTTGGAAGCAATAAAGTTTTGTCTTTTAGATATTTATTATATAAAAATATAAATATAGACATATAAAATCCATTACAACAACTTATAGCAGAGTTTATATGATTAAATTAAATGCTTGCAAATATCATTAATAGATTAACATACCCTCCTGAACATGTCATCGTGTCAGCCTCTCAGTCATTTTAAGATGGAGCAGCGTCTGTCTCCAAATCTCTCCCCTCTCTGTGTTAACATTTAAAAGGTACACATATTTATACATTAGGTGTCTTCATTGTAGGGTTACCATAGTTCATTAAAGAAAAATTAACACTTCTTTTACTTTATCCATTTTAGGACCTCCCTTAAAGAACCACTATAGTGCCAGGAAAACATACTCGTTTTCCTGGCACTATAGTGCCCTGAGGGTACCCCCACACTCAGGGACACCCTCCCGCCCGGCTCTGGGGAGAGGAAAGGGGTAAAAACTTACCTTTCTCCAGCGCTGGGCGGGGAGCTCTCTGCCTCTGATCCTCCTCCGATCCTCCCCGTCGGCTGAATGCGCACGCGCGGCAAGAGCTGCGCGCGCATTCAGCCGGTCGCATAGGAAAGCATTATCAATGCTTTCCTATGGACGCCTGCGTGCTCTCACTGTGAAAATCACAGTGAGAAGCACGCAAGCGCCTCCAGTGGCTGTCAATGAGACAGCCGCTAGAGGCTTTGGGGGAAGGCTTAACACATTCATAAACATAGCAGTTTCTCTGAAACTGCTATGTTTATAAAAGAATTGGTTAACCCTAGCTGGACCTGGCACCCAGACCACTTAATTAAGCTGAAGTGGTCTGGGTGCCTAGAGCGGTCCTTTAACTTGGCAAAAATACAAGGCCATAACACGTCATGGAAAATTTCCTGACTTAGGTCAAGATGGCATCTTAAAGTCTGAACATCTTTATCTATTTAGGGTTACCACAGTATATTATGTACTGAAAGAGTCGTAGCATAGCCTTGAAGCTGGTTTATGCATTATTGTTATTGTATGTCATCTGGGACAAAATGGCATAAACATATTATGCAC